AAATCCCCCTGTATAGTAACTTTTTATTATAATCACACTTTTTATTTTTGGTCCCAAAGGGTGTGACTATAAAGGGGACGACTGTAATAGGCTTGAAATTAGAGGATGACATATTGGATTTTAAAACAGATTGGTAGGCGTAATCGAGACGCTTGAAACTAAGAGATTTGCTTGCACATCCGATGCATTAGTCTGATTGGTTTTCGAAATTCGAGGTATTGGTGGAGTGCTTACCCTTACCTCTGATAAATTTTTCGATCCAGACTCATTCGAAACTTGAGGTTTGGATGCATACCCTAGGTCTCACCTTTTTTTATTCACCATACGTCTCCATATCCCACGAAAAATATACTTGTTACAATGTATAGCCTTGAATTCTTTATTGATGCAGTAAATAAATTACATGATTTGACTCATAACTGTGATACATAAATTTACAAGTGAAATGGTGTTTCTATACTAATGCCTAAGGCCCAAACCAATTTTTTGTTTGTCTATACTATATATACTAACACATTATTCCAGTTCATTTGATAGAATACAAATGATCGTCAGTTATATTTATACAAAACACGCACTGTCAGGAATAAATTAACAATATTAACCTTAACAAAACAACACTAAAACTATGTTGTTTTTCTTCATGATCTAACAAATTCCTCGGAAATTCTGTACGAAAAAATAGTCATTAGTTTGAAGTTGCTTCATTGCAAATTGTACGGCCACGACCTCGACGTCTCGTCCGGAACTTTCTCCCATAATTTCTGTCAACGCCTCATTCAAACCGCGATACGTCTTAAGCGAGATATTTTCTTCTGGTTTATTATGGCTCGGGTAAAGTAAGAAAAAGAAATCTTACGTCACACAAAAATCATCTCGGCATAAATAGTACTGCGATTTATTTCGGGTTGCGATAAAACTAAGAACAATCGCCTGAATTGACAAACATTTTTTTATTTTTCCGATGCACACCCACACTACATACACATGTTAAAAAGAATTTGCGAAAATCTTTTAAAAATTTTCAATAAACAAAAAAATTAACCTGAATTTGACAGCTCTGAAAGACCTACAGTATTAATGCATATATGAAAGCACATGCAAAAATAACGGATAAAAATCCTTTCATTTATCATTTCTTTGACCAGTACATAAACGTTTTGAAAGATGGAGGTTGTTTTCATTATCATGATCACAAAATGCTGTAACTTGAGCCTGTATTATCTGCGCAATATATTTTACCATTTCTTTTTCATTTTCTAAGTTACCAGTAAGATTGCAAGTATATTCTTCGGAAATATGAACAACCGGTTCATCTAATGATCCAGTCCAACGGACAAATCGCCATAATTTTCCAGTTGTAACTATCCCATACATTTTTGGTTCTGCTTGGCCGGAATTCGATAGTCGTTCCATTGCACTGTGCACTTGTACAATATTTTGCGCCATTCTTTGTTTCATGTCTTCCAATTTTTCTTCACATAACACCAAAAAAACTTCAATCATTTTTACAGCATAGTCAATGGTTCCATACCCACGACTTCCCTTCAGCTCTTTCTCAAAACCTAACCGTACTGAGACGTTTACGAAGTCTTATATATGGGAAACTGCAGCCGACAAGAAAGTATCAATAATGTAACGAGCCGACGACTCATTTTCAATTTCTTTCTGGATATTATTAAGATGACATTTAAGCTCCCCAAAGAATTTATTGCCCTCTTCCTGAGAGAATGGATGCTTTAACGGAGGAAGTTCATCAAGATTAAATCTTGGCATATCACCCAGGGATTCATAATCCGGTCGTCCTAATATATCCTTAAACACATCTTTGATATTCCAATCACTATACTTTTTTCTGCCCTTGATTTTAATAATTAACTTTAGCGTAACATTGTTGTCATTATCTTGTGTTGTTTGAAATATTACAGTATTAAAGTTATGTACATCCCAAATATCCATTCCGTTATTTACAAAGTATATTTCTTCTCTCTCCAATTCTGTGAAAATTTCTCTAGCGAGAGCTTTCAAAAGGCTAAATGAACCACTAGTATGTGGTATTTCGCGTTTGGTTTGCCTTTGTCCGTACACGAATGTCCCCTTAACTGCATTTGAAGGAAACTAATAAGTATTTGCTTGAAATGGAAAAACAAAGCCAAGAAATAAACCTCACTTACTGTTTGCATTTGAGAGAGGATAGCGAACAACGAGCGAGTTCTTGGCCGTTGTTGTCTTAGTTAGAGTTTGGAGGTCAGTGTCTGGTTGAAGTTGTGTGTTGTTGTTATTTAAGATTACGATATTTTGCGGTCTAACATCTCTTAACTCTTCATACTCCTCTTGAAGAATATATACAAAATCATCTAAGTCATAAGCTTTAGATATATCAGCATTCAACTTCCTAGCTCTCGGTGAACCTTCAAGAAGGACCCACATTTTTACTATGATGCTTGAGGAGCTTAGACAAGAACTCGAACGTTTGTTTGGGGCACCAAACTCTTTGGACATTATTTTTTAACTGCGGATTATACCAATTTAGTTAGGATGTTTCGAAGAATAAAAATTTACTGCGCGGCGAATTTACGAAAATTGTATATATACATGTATATACTCACCTGAATGTGGATTAACTCAATTTGTATCTCAGGACGAATAGTGATGCCGTGTTTAGGACAGTTTAACTATTTTTAGAAGATTCCGGATCTGTGGATTTCCGATAAATCCGCTAGTCCCTGCGCCATATTAATTTGCATTATTGTCTCCACTACTAAATTGATTGAATTTCCTGAAAAAATATTCCGGAGCATTTCAATTGTTAGGATACCTCGGACTAGCATCTCATAATGACGAATTTCTTGTATTTGACCAATAAAAAATGATCAATCGACGTGCATATATAATCTTGTTGTTTTATCGTTACCATAAAATTTATCGTAACCTTGACAATGAAAACACGTAGTACCTGCAAAATTTATGAAATTGGTACTTTTTTTTTTTGTATGAAATGTATTTACTGTGCTAAAATTTCCATTATTATTAAAAGAACAATTTAAATTTAAATTGCAAGTGAAAAATAATAATGATTCTTCACCACAGCCTTCTT